TCTTGTAATTTATCATGATGACGTCATCATTCCGATCAATTTTTTTAAAATTAGAGTGATGAGTAACTATTTAGCCAAGTTGTTGTTACATTCCATATCCACAGTATTTGTAAAAATGACCAAAAACATAAATTTATTTCCCCTACCCCCATCTTAAATAGTTTAAAATAGGGTATTTTAGGTCAAAATTTCAAAGTGCTGTAAAAAAAATTGCCCAAGTCCTAGGCATGGTGATTGTTTTTCTGAGACACTGTAGGGCATGCTGATTCAGAAAAACCAAAAATTAATTTTCCTTTACTTTTTTCCCGCTAAAGTTCATTTCAGCAGAAGTTACAACCAGACTAATCCTGGTGCCAAGCAGTACGGTACTACGCTTAAATTCAGGTAATAATGTGATAAAATAATGAATGATACAAAATGCAGTGAATAGCCCTTTAATGGCTTACTCTGTCGAGTTTAACACTGCCTAGCCTAGAGATTAAAATCCGGTCAGGCATACAGTACTGCGACGGTCGTCAGTCGTCGCGCTTCTATGCAAACCGGAACGCGACGAAGCTCGCGCAACGGTTCATTTTCTTGTGTCATACCACTGAACACTCGGGAATATGACTGTAATTCATTGACTTATCCTTTGTCGCCGAATGTCTGATGAATCAGAAGAACTTATGAATACGTAATGAATAATTATATAATTTCTCACCCGTATTTTGCTTTTTGCATTTGAATTAAGTGTAAATGAATAATTGGAATGAAAATAATGACTTGTCCTGCCAAGTACAATTTACACTGCACAGAGACTAAATCCTGCAGACTCAATTTGCTAACGTACAGTATGTTTGTGATTCATTGACAATTTTTTCAATTATGCCGTATAAAAATATTTGTCTATAGCGAATCTCTCTGGTACTCTTACTGTATAATGCGCCTCTTCCTTGCAGTTATAAAGTGCAGTTCTTTTCCCTGGTCATTGGGTCCACATGCCAAGTGTTGCTGCTGGTAATCAGCGCAGGAGCAGGTAACTCCACTAGGTACCCATTTATACTCCTGGGTGGAGAGAAGCAATTCAGATAAAGTGTCTTGCTCAAGGACACAAGCGAAATGCACAGAGAGGGATTGAAACCCCGACGTACCTCGAGGTTAGGAAAACAAAACGTTCCCGCTGCACCAAACCGCTTCCACTTTTTAGTACAAAAATAAAATGTGCTCGCTTTTTCAAGTAACGTGTCTTTCGTGAAGGCACTTAGTACAAATTGTGTTGGGATTCATTCTGTGATACTTGTCAGTGGTTTCGCAAAGAGCCCCGAAACTTTTATGACCATTAGGCCAGTTTGACGCAGTGGAAGTGGTTTTCCTAATTCGGGGTCGGGGTTTCAATCATTCGCTGTGCATTTTCCTGGTGTCCCTTGAACAAGGCACTTTATCTACATTGCGTCAGTCTACCCAATATCAATGGGTACCAATACATTGCTGGGTAACCTGCGGTTAACTAGCGTCCGACCCAGGGGAACATCACCCTCTCAACCCCTTCACGCAACTTTAAACTGGAGGAGATTAACTTTAGCCCATAGGCATATGAGCCCCGTGGCTCTGCAAGATTTAGGCCTACTTCTTTTTTGACGATTAAAGACGAGTCATCAATTTGTAACAATTTAATGTAAAAAAAAGTGAGTTACATTAGTTAAAAGGAACACTATCCAGTAGCGACATCAGTAATTTTTAATACAGAAGGGTCCAATTCAATTAGTCCTATCATTTCGAAAACAAATATGGCACCTGTAGGCGCAGTCGGAATAACACTCTCAGATTCGAAGCGCCTTATGCTCACAAAAGAAGTTCATGATTTTAAATAGGCCTATATTAATTTTGCAAATTTTGAAAAAGTTTTAACATTTAGCAAACGGGGGCCGAATTCACTATCGATAGGCTGAGAAAACCGAACTAACGGAGACCGAAATCCATAACATCGGCAAGTCAAATTTCAATAGAACACTGCTATTTACAAATAAGTAACCATTTGGAACCAGATAATATAAATTTATTATACAATTACGTAAGTTAATCAGCAACATTAGGCCAACAGGGCAACCGCTTTCACCATTAATGTAAACATTATGCTTTTCAAAACATAAAGCTTACACATCGAGATAATCAATAGAATTTTACAATTGTGTTAGGCCATGGAGATATTATAGTATAATATCTCCATGGTTAGGCTTATTTGAAAGAAACATATCAGACCTATGTTGGTAAAATAATTATAATGGATTAATTTAACTATTTTAAAAATCCTTAACGAGGCAATGACTCATTGAAAACTTAGAAAATTCACTTACACTGCCCTGGCGTTACGTCACGCTTTGGTACTGTTTAAAAATACAATTTGTACGAGATCTAGGCCTATATTGTATTAGGAAGTTTATTATAAACTGACTCCTACGCACGCCGATCATTCGCCTTGAAAACAGGTATTTAAATAAAAGTTACACTTTTTGGTTTATTTAATTTGTAGGAAATAAAAGCCTAGCCATAGCACGTCGTTACTTACTTCCATGCCTCACTTTTATTATATCTTTAAAAATTATTAATTTGGGACGGTGTCCTTGGCACAACGTGAACGACGTCCGGGTGATAAAAGGATATTTCGAGTGCTCTCTGAAGAGGCTACCAATAGGATACCGTACTTCGTGACATGAATTAACTCAACAACAGTATTTGTACATTTGCAAAGAGTCCTCTTTAATCCCCTGATAAAATTTGTACACTATCTGAATCCGTGTTTTGTTGGTTTTCGGTAAACGTAGACTTGTATTTGCTTATTGGATTCGAGATTGGTGAGTGGTGGGTTAGAGTAGGCAGTGATTCTTGCTAAAACCTCACCTTCCTGTTTAGTAGCTGTGTTGGCTTTAATTCAACTGTATTCTACTACTGTAGTCGTAAACCTAGTACTAGTGACATGATTATAGTTACCTACTGCGCATGTCAAAATATAATTTATTCCTTCCATATTGTTTCACCTGCGACGAGAATAAAGTCGCCGCATGTGATTTGTGAATTAACTTAAAAGGCGTGTTTTCACTGGACGGGTTGTTCCGTCAACAAATCACAATTTTTGGTCAGTGTTTGGTGACCTGAGTCAAGTTCAAGATCTGTCAGTTTTATAGTCTGAGTGAAGACGTGAAGAGAAACATGTTGTATTTACCCATGAGCTTGCTTTGCCTACTGGGGACCGTCTTTGGCTACCCTGAGTTCCGTTTATACGAACCGTCAGTGAGAACATCAGGAACGGTATTTCTTGGAAAATCGTATAGGTTCGACGATGCAAAGTACCTACATTTGAACGTTACAGTCGACGCATTTGAAGGCATACCGTACGCCGAGCCCCCGGAGCGATTCACGCCCCCAGAACCGAAACGCACAACACCATGCGTTTACAATGCTACTTTCAATCGACCAATTTGTTCTCAAGAACCGTCGCCATATATATCTAACCACGTGGAAACAAGCGAGGATTGCTTATATTTGAGCGTATACACACCAAAGCTATGTGAACGACGGGTGAGATTTAATGTTTTTTTTTTTTCATGTTATCCATAGGCCCATAGAACCAAATAGTATGCCTATATCTACTAGCGGATCAATGATAATGTAATGGTGTAGGCCTAAATGTACTTTGTATTTAATCCCTCTGGTTCTCAAACTAGGTAACGGTGAAATTTGGACACGAGAATCTTGTAAACCAAAAATGAATAACTTGAGTAATATTATGTTGAATTGTCAAAAGATTTGTGAAGTTATGTTTTTTTACACAAACTCAAACACAAGGCATCTAAAATAGTATACATACGGCTCAAGGTCCTTGGTTGGCTGTGTGCATGATTCATATTCAGTCGCTGCAGTGTTGCATACTGTATATAAACTGTTTTGTTATATGGTAGGCTACTTATCCCTGATTTATAAGCTTATTCTTAATTTATTCGTTTATTACTGAAATCAGACAAATCGATCAAATACACAACTTTGTTATTCAAGGTTAATGGATTATATTGAAATATTTCACAGCAATCTGTGATCGGTTTTCAGTTGTGACATACGTTGGCCAGGGAAATTATACAAATGCAAAAGGTACACCCCACACACATGCAGACACACACACACACACAAATGAATAGAAACCCAGAGTTCTTTATTGGACCCTTGCAGCC